GCATTACCACGGGCTCTGGAAATCAAGACTGTAAAAAGTGCCGTGATGGCATCGATAGTACTCACATATGAAGCTTCACAGCTTCCCTTGCCATGAAAGTCACCATGATTTGCCATTTCTTTGATTCGTTTCATCGTCTTTGGCGTAAAGTGAAAATTATGAGTCGCTGCAGCCGGTGGCACTTGGTTAGGTAGCTGAATATTTTCATCACTTGCAGCTTTCACAATGCGAAATTCGGGATGCTGATCTTTTGACATACCTTCCGCATGTGAAAGCAAGTGTCGATCGTGATGTACCACAAGTTGTTCTTCATTCGTTTGCCACTGCAATAATGTCCCCAGACTCTCAAAAAGGTAAATAGGGCTTATCCGTCAAACAGCGCGTGCCTTACATCGACACCAATGACTAATCTTCCGTCCTTCAGAAGAGTTGACTTGACAGCGATCAACTCTTTTTGCCTCATCTGCTTGGCATCAATTCTTCTGATCGTTTGTGTATTGCCTGTTCTCTTGTCATTTTACTGTGTACGACCGAATACGAAAGGCTTCATTTTGATGAAACATATCTGTCAGATCCACGTGGACGACTCCCGTCTTCGGATCGACGAAGAATGTCTCCAAGGAGAATGGATAATTGTGCTTAACAAGATCAACAATGGACGAATATAGCTTGACGCAACTGGAGGATAGATGACAGAAATCATTACGTCGAGACTATGCAGCATTGTGTCAATTAGAGACAATGGCACCAAAGTTGGAAGGCATGGCTAGCTTCGGTGGAGATCAATTCGAAAAATGGAATCAAGGGCCCTGCTTGGGATAACTATCCATTGAGCTCAGATCACCATGCTTACAACTTGACGACAATATACGCGCGAATAAACTTTAAGTTTAGAAATCTATCACATCTACGATTCTTCGAAACGCATGCTGTAAACGAATGCCTTAAGCTTCTCACGAGCTGCATGATAACGACTGTGCTGCCCATTACGTCACCTCTTGCCTGTCCTCGAACTCAAAAGAACGAACTTAAGAATATGTGCAGGTGCAGAATAATTAAGTGCGTGATTTAATTCAAATCCTGAGCAGAAACGAAAGAGGGAGGAAAATTAGACCTCAAAAGCAGTGTTGGCCCTTTTGAAATTCCAGCAACTTCAGCGAGGGAACAAGCCGTGAACATTTCTTCACACTCTTATGGTGTCGAGCAGGCGCGGCCTGCTCGAATTCAACAGACTGCATTAAACTAAGTGAGCGACGTCGGTCCGATCGTGTCCTTAAGTTTGTGGTCAGCCGGCTGAGGACGTGCTTCGTAAACGCACTCGACTATGCCATGACGCCACTATGCGATAGAATGAATCGTATTAGTTTTTGTCGTATTGAGTATCGATCATGAATATCTTAAAAAAATGTATATACCGCACTTTTTTATTTTCGCCAGTGATGCCGACATAATAGATTTTGGTTTTGTCGCCTCCAAAGCTGCTTTGAATGAAGAGTGTTAAACTGCTTACACCTTGAAATTTGCGTAATCTGCAGTAACGAGATAAGAGTTTCAGCATTCCTATCTAATACATTAATTGACATACTGAAGCGGATAATTAATATTGGCTCTGTCGTCCTCAACCAGATCTAATTTCTGTTGTGCCAGCAGCTCGTTTGCATTAGAAAAATCGATATCGTCTCGATTTGTGAATCTGAGCAATAGCATCCAAACACCAGCAACAACTACATGAAAATTGGCTTTTTCAAATTTAGCTTCAGAACGTACATTTTAACTTCTTTAGGGTGAGTGCCGTCGCCAGCGCAACCCGAGATACAAATGGACTTAATGTTGACAGATTCTGTGAATGGAATAAACAAAATCAGCTCTGGGTCGTCTTCGTTGCTAGCCAAAAACCGGGAGTGGTCTTGACGCTCGTTTAAAGGCTTGAACGGGTGAGATACAGCCCGTGGGTCCAGCGCATTGAGCACCCGAAGTTTGCTGGTGTCGATGAAGGGAAAGAGGGAAACTCCGTCTGCATCTTCAACCTCATGGCTATGATCGTGGTTAGAGTCAGGGTCGTGACTGTGGTCTTGACTGTGGTCGTGACTGTGGTCGTGACTGTGGTCGTGACTGTGATCGCAGTGCTGCATTGGCTTGATTTCGATTCAGCTTTGGTGACGATTGGCTAAAATGAGCTGCAGATGCATCTCGATCTTAAGTCATGATAACAATGGGCTTTTTGAAGAGTGCTATTCGCCAATGGACCGAAAATTCATGGCTGTCGACGGAGGAGATACCTTCACAATGGGTATTGAGGCTGATAGTGGAAAGGTTTTTGGATGGGGACGAGCATTCTACGGCGAGCTGCTTGATGGGTTTGCGGAAAAGGATCAACCATTGGTGAAAATAAAGATAAAAGAGCCATGCAATAAAGTTGTTTGCGGCTGTAATCACGTGCTGGCGCTGGCTTGTTCGGGGTGCGTATATGCGTGGGGCTGGAATAGATCTGGTCAGGTTACAGCAGCTAAATCGGATGAAGTGGTGCATACTCCAACAAAAGTTCAGTTTTTTCTTCATGCCGTATATATTGTCGAGGTGGCTGCAGGAGGGATGCACTCACTCGCACTTGACTCAGATGGTCGTGTTTGGGCATGGGGATGTAACGCGTACGGCCAGTTGGGTATTGGCGTAAGGGAGAAGCAGCTGACTACTCCAGCGCTTGTTGAAATGCCGGCAAATGTACAAGCCCAATCCATCGCAGCAGGGTGGGCTCATAATGCGATAATCTCGACGTCAGGGGAGGTGTTTACCTTTGGCTGGGGTCTGTACAATCAGCTCGGTCACGGCTCCACGCACAATGAGCTTCAGCCGCTTGCTGTCGAAGCCCTTAGGGGTCTCGACAGCGACATTGCCCAAGTAGCTTGTGGCACCTGGCACACAGCGGGTAAGGCTGTCACAAGGCTGCCGGTACCTTCTCACTTCTAACACGAGAAATTATCACGTCTGCTCAGCACTGACAGCGTCTGGAGATCTGTACACTTGGGGATGGAAAAGAGACGGTCAGCTGGTGAGTTGTGTCGTATTACCCTGCACATTTGCATTGTTTCCTGTTCTCTAACACGCCAAAATACTAGGGCCCAAGAGATCCTCTCACACCGCAAGTTCTTCCTAGCGTTGTGAACATATTGTCTGGCTCATCGACGAATAACAACGATGATGACATAACAGCCATAGCCTGTGGTAATCGATGTACCGTTGCGCTGTGCAAAAACGGACTTGTTCACTATTGGGGTCCAAGGTCAGCGATCCCCGCATGTCAGGATTCACGGACTTTACTACTTCAGGGGTGGCCACATTCAATTACTAGTCGAACGATTAGGCTAGCGGCTAGCTCCTCGAACGTTATTCTGCTTTTAGAGCATCAAGATCAAGATCCAGAAGACTGATGGACAAAGTTCATGCCTTTGAAAGCTATATTACATAATTGATTGGTAAATCTCTGGGTGTCTAAGACACTGCCAAGGTATATATTACCAACAAAAGGATTTTTAAATTGCACAACCAGAGCAAAAGCTCCAGCCGACTCAGGACTTTTCTACACCATACTGTTACATTAGTCGTTTTGTCGTTCATCACTGCTACAGGTCGTTCTCTGACGAGCCCACATCTCGGCGTACTTCCCTTTGACATCGCGTAGTAGCTCATCATGCGAGCCCTGCTGAATCACATGACCATTGTCAAGAACAATAATCTGATCGGCATTCTGGATAGTTGACAAACGGTGAGCAATGATTAACAAAGTGCGGTTTGCGCCAATCGATGCGATTTCGCGCACAATCTCAGATTCGGTGTCCGAGTCGAGGGCGCTCGTGGCCTCATCAAGAAGCAAAATAGGTGAGTTTTTAAGCACAGCGCGCGCGATCGATACACGCTGCTTCTCACCGCCCGACAGCTTCAACCCACGCTCACCTACACGTGTGTTGTAGCCGTCTGGAAACGTCTCGATTGATCGGTGGATTTTTGAGACTCGAGCTGCATTCATCACCTCATTTGATGTTGCATCGAGACGGCCGTAATTAATATTGTAATAGATCGAGTCATTAAACAACACGGTGTCTTGAGGAACAATTGCGATTGCGTGACGAAGCTCGTCTAAATTCAGCTGGCGAATATCCTTTCCATCGATAAGAATTGTCCCGTGTTGAGGGTCATAAAAGCGGTAAAGCAATCGGAGCACCGTAGATTTGCCGGATCCACTTGTACCAACGATGGCAACACGAGTTCCCGCGTCAACCTTAAAAGAAGCATTTCGTAATATTGGAAGCTCCGGAAGATATCCGAAGCTTACACCGCGAAACTCGATTGATTTGGGCTCCTTGCCGGATAAAGTAAGACTTTCTTCCGGTGTTGTAATAAGCGGAGTTGCTGAGCCAAGCTTAAACATTGATTCCATGTCTGTCACCGATTGACGCACATCACGGTAGATACTACCGATGAAGTTCAGCGGAATTGACAGCTGAAACAGCAAGCCGTTTACCAAAACCAAGTCGCCGACGGTGAGTGTTCCAGCAGCAATTCCTTCGCACGCCATAAACATGATAGCAGTGAGACCAACACTAAAGATACCATTTTGTCCAACGTTTAGCATAGCAAGAGAAGTCTGCGTCTTAAGGGCTGCTGTCTGGTATCCTTTGAGCGATTGGTCGTACCGATCTGTTTCGTGCTCCTCGTTATTAAAATATTTGACTGTCTCGTAGTTTATTAGCGAATCAATAACCTTTGCTCCAGCTTCATTCTCAAGACGGTTCATTTCACGCCGAATTTCGTCACGCCACTGTGTAACTAAGACTGTGAACGCCGTATAAGCAGTAAGTGTTCCGAGTGTTACGCCTGCATACGGAAGTCCAAAATTGGCCGCCATAATTGAGCTCACCAATCCAATTTCTAGTACTGTCGGCACCACGCGAAACGCCATCGCACGCAACACGAAGTCAATCGAACGCGAGCCACGGTCAATTACACGCGATAGAGCACCTGTTTGTCGATCAAGGTGAAACTTGAGATCCATAGCGTGTAAATGCTTGAACACACGTAACGCTACCTTACGAATAGTCTTTTGTGCCACAGTCGCAAATACGGCATTAGCCAACTCGGACGAAGCGCTGGCGCTAAAACGAGCCAATCCATACCCAAGGACCATTGCCATTGGCACCACGAGCTCAGTGGGGCCAGCTAATACCGATGAAGCCTCACTCATGCCATCTACAAGATCTTTGTACATAAATGGAACTTGAATGGTCAGAGCCTTAGAAGCTATTACAAGACCGGCCGAGACTAGCACCTTCTTCTTGATCTCTTTGGCCTCCCGAGAGTCACCGCCAGGGCACAGGTGACCGATGAGAAAACGCAAAATCTCGCTAGCTGTTTCAGGCGGTCGTTCCAGCTCCAACTTGCTCCGAGCATGCACATTTCTGGGCTTTGAATGCTGCGAAACTAAATACTTACTTTTGTCATCGTCTAGCGATGAAGTCGAGAAGCTTATCGAACAATTGCCAGGCGCCGGCAAAGCAAATGTTACAACACGTTGGCTCCGCCGTTTAGTCCAAAGCGTGAAAGAAGAAGGAGAAGTATGGCACACAAAGTGAATGCGTTGCAGGCCGCGCGGGAATATGCTGCGGCTTTGGAATATCGTCATAATCTGCAAATTTTATGGATGATAGGTATGAGTCTAGCTTGATCCACATTACGTGGAAAACCTTTTCGTGAATTTTAGACGCGTTTTAAGCACAAGTAAAAGGAGTCATAATTATTTTTGACACACTATAAACATTATGTGCCTTCCATCCAGAATTTTACGAACTCAATTGTGAAAATAAACACAATCGTTGGGATGACTTTTTGACCACTAACAAAGAGTGGAAACCGTAATAATTAATTTCTTTTGTAATTTCTAGAATGACAGTATTTTGCTCCGGATACATTAGAAGCTTAAAATCCTGTTGAAATTAGGTGCATTAGAATATACTCCTAAATTGTTTCAACAGTCTGTAATTTGCCCGATCTAGCTCAACATAAGATCTCTCTCCCTTCCGTCATGTCGTTCGAGCTGCCAAAGATCGCTTATGAGTACAATGCACTGGAACCATTTGTGGACACAGCCACAATGAATATTCACCATACTAAGCACCACCAAGCCTACGTGAACAACATTAACAGTTACATCTCGTCCGGGAAAGGCTCCGACCTGCAGGGCAAGTCCATACTCCAGGTTGTACAGTCGGCCACTGATGCGCCTGTGCGTAACAATGGTGGCGGACACTACAATCATTCGCTCTTCTGGACTTGGATGACCTCACCTGGTTCAACAAACACGGCACCGCACGGTGCTCTCAAGACTCGTATTGAGGAAGATTTCGGCTCACTCGACCAAATGAAGCAAGAGTTTAACGCCGCCGCTTCGTCGCGCTTTGGTTCTGGTTGGGCCTGGCTCGGTGTTAAGTCTGACGGCAAATTGGCCATTACGTCCACGCCAAATCAGGACAATCCTCTAATGCCAGGCGTGGACCAGCCGCTCATCCCCATCCTTGGTCTGGACGTATGGGAGCACGCTTACTATCTCAAATACCAAAATCGCCGCCCCGAGTACATCTCGGCTTTTTGGAACGTTGCTAACTGGGACAAGGTTGTCGAATACTACGACGAATTTGCCTCTAAAGGCAAGCCTGTGGACATCTGAATCGAATAGGATCTTTTGATGGAAAATAAGAGCATGGGAAGTTTGAGTTTCGTAGCTTAATGTATCTGATTTCTGATCGGGGCAGAATGCCCACAGATGGTATTTTGTTGGGTGCAATGTTAAAAAATTATTGTTTACGCCAGTCGATTTTCATGAGTGTTCTACATTCACAAGGTTTTTGTCTTCTGTGCATGCCGTTTGCAGCGTAAAAACAAACGGCACGGCGTGAGGAAGTCCCTTGTCGTCTATAGCTACAATTACTCTTCAGTCACGAAAAGATAGCGTCGATCAAATCACTGAATAACTTACTGACAGCCATTACTGCGTATTGTGATCTAGATTTTAAAATTGTGTTCGCTCGCTCTTCGCCGATCAAATTAAGCTTGAGTCCTATGCCTTGATCATCTGCAAGATCGACAATGGCTGTACCTTCAAGCAATTCTACAAATAGATAACGCACAGAGGTTCCAGCCATGTATTCATCAAGACAATACTTTTTGCCAGTCTGGAAGCTGTCGCGACTACTTTAAGCTGCTTTTGGATTTTAGTTCTCCTAGCGCCGATCGCCTCTACATCGTCATAAGCTAAATTATCAGAATTGGTGTCCATTTTGGGCGATTTCACCCTTGACGAAGAGACACGTGGATGCGGTCCGTTGCTGGAACCTGCGGAAGCCGCAGACTTAGTTTTCGCCAAGTTTCTGGATGCATTACGCGAGCGTGCCGCTTGATAAGCTTTGTTGAGAGCATCTAGCTCGATATTTAGTTGTAAGTTTTTCTGTTCGCATACATTCTTGACATCCGTGACACAACTATTTTTCACAAAGCTTTGCAGTATCGCGCAGCACACGTTGGTGTTGTGCAGTTTTAGGGGTGTTATGCCTTCTGTAAACATTCCAATCCAAATCTTTTCATGTAAGTAAGTCTGCAACGTGTGAGTACAAAACTACTCATACCGAAGCCATATTTTACCCAGATGATAGATGGTGAATGCATTTTTGACGAGCGCCTCCCGAGAAGCCGGAAATTTATTCGTGAGAATCATCGCTAAAAAATGATTGGACTTGCAGTAGCAAAAACTGAAGTATGAAAACATGAGCTATTTCTATACTTCTTCTTTCTATTTTACTTAAGTGAAACAACATTGATTGGAGAGAACTTGTCCTCATTCTAGTTGCCGGAATGGATGCACAACGGAGCACTGATCCAATTCTTGATCTGGCTATCGCAGCACAACACGCTGATGCTGAACTGCACACAATAACGTCTCAATTTTCATGTTCCGCGGCAGTGACAACCCACATGATGACGGCCCTTGCGACGGACAAGGATGATGAAAGTGAAAACGAAAGCTCTGACGACGAGGTGATCAATTTAACAGGAAGTCAATTTGCAAAGACAAAGACGACAAGCGAGTGCTCGAGTAGTGACAGTGATGAAGAGATTGAGAATACTGTTACGCTGCGCGCTGAGATTGAATCGGCCATGGAGAAAGAAAACAACAAGGCAAGCGCTCCATTGACGACGGAGCACGAAATTGTATTGGCTCCTGTACGTGAATTTGAAGTGGAGCTGACAGTCAGTTGCCCAATTGAGCAGTGCGGTATTATTTTAAATGTAAGCGTGTCCAGACTTATGATGACTGTGAAGTCAAATCCGAATACCAAGCCGTTGGACGAAGGAAGCGTGCTGTGTCTCGAGGACCGCACAGTGCTTGGGTGCGTCGACGAGGTATTTGGTCCGGTGCTGATGCCCATGTATCTCATTCGCTTTAAAAGTGCTGACAAAATACCTAAGACGATGAGCGTGAATACTGCAGTCTTCTTCGCGAAGGAGCACACGACCTATATTGTCCCAGATAAAATCAAGGACAAAGGCACGGATGCTTCGAACATTTTTGACGAAGAAGCGAATGAGATTGAGTTCTCTGACGACGAAGCAGAAGCTGCAGCAAAGCGGAGCATTCGCAAGCGCAATCGAGGCGGTGTATTACCTGCTAGTAGTGAAAGTTCCGGCTCTGCATCAGTAATTGGAGGACATCGAGGTCGCAGCGGACGCGACGGGCGCACCAGCTATCGACAGGGACGTCATGCTACTAGCAGACAGCAGTCACCGATGCCGCCAATTCATACAATACCCACTATACCTGCAATGCAGACACAACCATTTGGAGGTGTCACCAAATATACTCAGTCAGGTGGGCATGGCATAGCAAGACCTTTTGTGCATGGAAGTATAAATTACACGTCACCTCGGGGTCATCAACCGCAATACAGTGGAGTTCGTGCGTCACAAGGGCACATTTCCGCACACTGCCACTATCAGCCACCCCTACCACCACAGTATAATGGACACAATGTGCCTTTCTTCCCTCAGCACGGTGTCTATCAGCAATACTTCCCTGGATCAAGTGCTCCTAACGGCCAGCTGCTATTACCACCTCAGCCACCCTTCTTCCCCCCACCGCCTGTACTTTATAGTCAGCCATCACAATTCAATCAACAGTCGCGCGGGGCTCCTTCGCCGCCCCTAGTATATCATGCAGGCGAACAGCAGAATCAGAATCGATCTTCTGACCAGCGGCGTCGCTAAAGTAGTGAATTGTATAAAATACGCACATATAACGTATGTACGGAACAAGAAACGCGATGTCTTTAAAGTTGTCGACGTTTGAGCTCGTTGTTCTATGTATCACAATATGTTTTCCCGCTTTTTTGCTTAGACCTACGACAATTGTCATTTTTGACACAATTGGCCTTGCTTTGGCTAAAGAAACAGGCGACTTCTTCACTACCCAGACCATGGAGATTTTACTAGATCAGTACTTCAAGAAAAGTACTATTAAGATATATATAAATAATCACCATTTTGCCATCACTACATTTAAATATAATTACACACTTTTAATGTGACGACTGCCTTACGTTTGATTATTAACTGGTACTAAAATAAAGTAATCGGTTGAGGTTGACTTTCTACCTCTGTACAATTAATTATACGAACAACAACGCAATAACCTACAAATCGGCAATTTTTTCTCTGCTGTTTTTAATGCCTAAACGACGTGAGAGTTACAGTTGCGATAAAACCATTTTTCATCACTTCAAAAATACATCCTGGTGTTGGTGAGTAGCACAGGCTTGGACCGAAAGGGTGAACACCGAGACCATTGTCGTGAATGATCGGTCGCGTGTCTGATGCTCCATTAAATACCAGACAAATATCTTTCCACTGTGCATATAACATCAGTATCAGAGTCATAAAGTTGGTTATATCACAAAGACTAAGAATAAGACGTACCGGGGTTTGAGGTGTGATTTCCAGATTAATTTGCGGATCAGCGCCAGATTTATGCGGTGCGTTCAATGAAGGAAATTTAATTCGAAAGTTGCATTTGTTGTAAGCTCCAAAGTCCGGATGACTACAGTTAGTGATAAATTGAAGTTGATGTTAATGAAGACGGAATTGCTCGTAATCGTATAAGGTCTGACCCCAGTGCGTTGGTCTTTAAAATCACTTTTGATGCTCGGTGCATCGAGTTATACAAAATGTCGAGTCCCAAATGCGGATAATTATGGAAATACTCACCATTCAGTCCCCCCGCAACAACTGCTCTGTAATATTAATGGTTACACTTACATCCAGCTCTGATACAAATTTGAAGCTTTACCCATCATTTGGATCTTCAGATTTTCGAAAGACGGACAATGGGGAACCAAGTTCGCTAACAACTTCCTGGACTCAAAAAAAAGTCAGAAGTGAGCTTATTCATAATTGATCACTTGATTTTAGGACCTGAGGGGAGCACCCAAGCCGAAGACACTGCTTTCTACCAGAAAAAGTCACCAATGTTTGCTTGTCACCAATCTCGACGTTGACTTCCTCAAAGTAATGCCTGCACAAATGTCGTGATTACTGACTGTCTTTTTCGCAATGTCGATTAAAGAATCTACTTTTTGATTGGAGAAGGGAGGTCAGGAGATCGGTAGTCGTCACCTACGAAAACGTCGAGACCAGTAGCTGCTGGGGTGGCACCATTCTGTTATAAGGCAGAATAAAAAATTAACTTTCTTAATTTTATCATACTGGAAAACCCTCTAACCGGAAATTCCATGGGCAAATCTGTGCAGTCTTGGTACAATTTCTGGTACTCTTCTGGGATAGAAAACTTAACACACCCACCATCATAGCCTAAAACATAGTTCTATATTCCCATCAGAATCAAGTGCTACTTTACAGCTTGTGATTGCTTGTGTCGCTGACAATTTACCTTTTCGACAATGTCGTAGTGGCCAGGAAACGTCGGTCCAAATAGCTAAAAGAATATGCAAAAGTCCACAATAAGCACACTTGAACAACTGAACAACTGCAATGATAATGACACGAATATACATCACGTACGTTGTAGACGGACATGAACGTAGCAAAGATGTCGCCACCGAAAATCACAACGCGTCCAAATTTTAAAGCCACGCGGTTCACCTCATAGAATTCAATAAATTTCAGAGTCTGTTGCACTGGGTCAAAATGGAGCTAAGCAAGTGTCGGCAATTTTGATAACAGTTCAAGCAGCCAAGTAATAGTATATCAAGCGCTCTGCTCACATTAAGCCCATCTTCGTGGGAACGCACGACGACGTCGCGCTTGTAAGGCTCAGAAGAATCATACGCGACTTCAAAAGGGCGTATTGGTAGGCGACTTTTTAAGGCGTGTAGAACCTCGGCTATACTTGCTCCGAGACGAAAGGGACCAACGCCTACGCCAAGCTCGATGCGCCATACTTCCCGGATCATTGTTTATCCGAAGAACCCGGTACCGGGTTAGGGGTAATGAGACCCACTAAGAATTCTGTATACTGACTTCTTATGTCTCGAGTGCGACATGGAGCAAGCATACCAACGTGTGTTACTCGTAGAGGAACTTTAGCTACTGTCTGACACCTGACTAAAATATTAACACTTGCTCCTTTCCGCAAAGGTATGTTTTTCTTTGTAAAAACTTTAGATGTTCTCTGTTTCGATTCTTTGTTGGAGCACGAACCAGTCCTCGTGCATAAATAAACGCTGAGTCTTTGAGTCATAGATGTATCTGTGCAAAGTGCACAGCATATCGTTACACTTGGTAGCTGTTGGCGTCAATCTGACAACCGATTCTTCCTTGGCTGTGTGCGCTGTGAGGATGAAACACATTAGTTGAGAAGCAATCCAACGGACTAGAAGCTGGAATTGCTTGCCTGGAGGCTTTCAAGAGCTATGAAATGCGCTGCGGAAAAACTTCCATGCGTTCAAAACCTGGCATCGCTGGGAGCATGAGCGGCACCCACCACGAAGTCTGCTGATGCTAAGCGTCAAAAAGAATATTCTTGTTGAGAAGAAGCGAGGTGGTCATGAATTCGGCCACATAGATTGAGAAACAATACGTTACTCAAACACCTGCTAGGAGTGCCTGCTCAAGACTGTATACTTTTGTGTAGTACCTATATGAAATCGGTATTCTATACATCAACGATATGAAGTGGCATAGCTCGCATCATCCAGCCAGGCGTATCAAATGCTGCAGCGGGGATGCCTTGCTCTTTGCTGAGGGGAAGCATATTAAGGTCACCGACTTTACGTTCTATACTAAAACCAGTATGAGTGTAGCGGATCGCAACCCGCTATCTCCAAGAGTACCCAAAACCTTAACCCAAGGCAACCGCACTCTTCCGTTCAAAATTGAAACTGTATTTTATTGATTTATGTGCGACAAAGCCGCCTACATGTAAATCGCTAGGTTTTCCTGATTAAGAAGTGGAACCTAATTAAATGCATAACTACTGGTAGTTTCGCCACGTAGCGGCTTCATGTGACACAATTGTGTGATTAGACCGTTTTGTGTAATCCATACCTTTGTACGGTCACACCATTCTGTGTGACCCAACCTTTCCTTCCAGGGTACGGTCCAAGTTTTTGTCTACCTGTAACAGAAATTGCCCGTCTGCATAAACACACTTTCTAAGGAAAGGTCATGTCAAGTAAGATGCCTCACCGCGTGTTGCTCGCTTCCAACGGGCTGTTGACTTACGTAGAGAGGAGGAGAGGTGATGTGACATGTATTACTGTAGCCACTAGGCTTTTAACCTTCCTAACCTGGTAAGTACTTCTAACTCTGATACAACAGAACTGAAAGAGGATCTACAACTATACAGGGTGTGCATTTCATGTACGACATGCATTATGTGGTCCGCACATTGTGTGATATGAAATCTGGCCTATTACACTACCCGTCGATAGTGGCGAGAATGAACGGACTATGTCCAAGATTTAAGAACTTCAATTTTCATGTTGGCGGCACACCTCCCCGAAGGAAGCTACGTTTATAAATATTGTGGTGTGATTATCATTGTGGGGGTATAATCATTGTGGAAGGTCGTAGAATTGATGTGGCTTACACGGAGACGAAATGCATTCACCTTGCATATTTCGAGGGAGCGACGGGTGCGTGCCCTGAAGGCCGGTCAATGTCTGAGTCACTAAGCGCTTAGGGTTAGCCTTTGGCTACGCTGAGAAGAAAGAGAGATCTTATAACTGCTAAGCAGCGCTGCGGTACTCTATAGTATTTCATCTGTGGTAGTACGAAATTTCTGCACCTTGCATGCACTATTTACTTTCGGCTAAAAACCTCGAAGGTCGGACTCTCACGCAGGTTCTCCGACAAGTCGATTTTGGAAAAACGTCTAGTTCTCGTGGACACAGTGCGGCACAATGAGTAATTTTTACTCATGAGGGTCTAGAACAATAATATCCAACCCTATGAGAAGCGACTCTTTGGCATATTTTTCTTCGATACTTTCAGTACATGGCGTGCAAAAATCGTTTTCCAATGGTATCCTTAATGCCTTAGCGTCTGTCCAACGTTATCGACAGTAAGTAATTCCGCGACACTCAAACTTTGTACAGTTTCACAAAACCCGGACCATTGATGTCGACAACCAATTTCCGCCCAGCCTTCTTGTATATCTATATATCTAAGGCCTTTGACAGGGTGGGACGTTAATCCATTCAACATATGATTTCAAAATTCAATCTCATATAGGTAAGGCTAGGATGGAGAGCCAAAAATTACGGATCGGCTATTAGTCAAAAATGCATTGATCTCTTCTAGCGGATACTTGATGATTATGGCCTCTTTCCCGGTGGCAAGCAACTACCGCTGCTATACCTGATATCAGCAGATCAATATCTTAGAGACCTCGACCTACGATCTCTATTTTTATCTCATCTAGAGGCCGCGGCTCACTGTCGACTCTACATTCCAAGCTTTGCTCAAGACCCTTAGCAACATCGTTGCTCGTCTTCCTTGTCGGTTTATGGTCTTTAGGGTTTCAATGGTGAACTCATCCAGTATAATAATGTGCTTCGCTTCTTCTTCTATGCAATCGTGTACTTGGTAAATTCTTCGTCTTGCAGCTGTTTGAACTCATCGACTTGCGCAACGAGAGTTCTGCTTGGCATAATGAAGGGAGCCTTACGTACCCTCAGACTATCTGGTCACTCCTTTCCTCATCTAAAAAATCATTTTGTGCAACAAAATCGTTCTTACAGAGGCACCATACAGTTTTTCTGTTTAAGAAGAGCGTGCATCATAATAAGGCTAAATTATTTTTATAACCATCAGCGTCTCACTCCTCTTCTCTCGTCCTACGATCGCCTGTCTTCACCGACCCTGGCACAAAAAACCGCGAGACACAGTCGCTATCACCCGTCCTTATCGATTCTGACACATAATACACCAGCTTACATGTGTACTTAAGCGACCTACCGGAGGTTACTCTGGACGAAGCGGATCTCAGTCTACTACATTCGTTAGTGCCAGACCTTGCAAAGTATAAAGCACAACGCCGACGTCGAGTTTCACCGCTTATTTCAATGGGACAGTAGTAACATCTACCGGCCAAGTGTCGAGCACACACCTACTCGCTAGCGGGGACTGTTCTGAGTCGGGCGAAACTGCCCTTTCTTCGAGGGAGATACACACCGAGAGTGCGCCAGGAAACGGCACTCAGACAATCGGTGCAATCGAAAGACTGTCAGCGTTTGGCGCCACCTCTTTCCCGCTGTCGAGGACAACGCTTTCTTCGTGAGCTCACTCGATGACAACAATCAAGCGCTCTCTGAAAGCCTTGGTGTACGTCCGAAACTGATAAAGGCCATCTTGGAATGTGCTCTTGAAGCTACCCCACAAAACTGCGTACAATCATCAATTCAGAACCGCGTCGCTACTTGAGAGCCGAAGGTTGTTCAGCTACAGGAACGGTTGAAACGCTGCTTCGCTTATAAGTGAGCTCTTCACGTCCAACTGACTCAAAAGAGCAGGACAATGGTATGGCTTCAGTAAGATCAGGTGTAAACAAAATGTATTTGCATTTTCTACGGGTTCTGAGTAAAAAACATCCAATCCATTTTTTGCAACGATCATAATCGCGATCACAACTTTGTTCCAATGATCGTAGACACCGCATGTGGGAAGGCTGAATACTTTTAGTAGAGTCCCATGCCTAGCTGCTTTGTCATATGTGTTTTGCCAGTCTCTAGCACCAGCGTGTTTGCTTTAGACACCATGACCCCCAGCCATAGCGTTGTGCACCCGGTGCATGATGCTCAGTCTCATTGAATAAAAAATCACAAATTTTCAACAAAGTATAGCCGGGCCGATGTCGACAAATCGTAATGCATTGACAGTCTTTCCCTAAGATAAATGAATTGATAAACCCAAATTCAGATGATGATACATGGCGGTTTCGAGCCATCCGCTAGTAACGAGTATATATGTTTGTGTGTACAAAATGAAGTAAAATGTATAAAGGCATGCACTGCGCTATTAAACGCAAAATAAATCAGTAGAAGCGACTTGCATCAGTATCGCGGTCTCTCCGCGTAAGTTCTTCGAGACATCCTCCACCACGCAATTATTCTATCCAGTCTGACAATCAGTCTGTGGGTGATCAATGGGTGGCATGTTCAATCTGGTGCCGAGCGCCTTAAACAATTTTTACTAAAACCTTCTCCGAAAAGTGCGTTTCTTCGACACAACGACCATCGGCGGGGTATATTGGCGAAATACTTTGTCAAGGTACACTTTAATTGTAATTTTACCGATTACGGTATTGCAGCAGCGAGATGGGTCATCTTGCTGAAACGTTCTACACAAAAAACAACGCCGTTTTACCGGACGTGTCCCTTTAAAAGATAGAAGATAAGGTCTGTATATATGGACTGTCAACGTCTAATCGGACTTGGCAGGACGGCCAATGGCGCAAGCGTTTGCGGTGAGGGTTTGACCCTTCACACGTATACACATGTTTTTACCTCCCTGCACAAAACACGACTTCACTAAGGTTAAGCCTCCGACGGAATTTTAAATCTGCAATTTTCAACTTTGTAGGCGGGCGGGTGTCTTATTTATTGAGCCATGTGCCACCAATATATAGCGCTCTCGGGCAGTATGTCTTTTCCGTTACGAAGTGGTCATATCAAGTCTCGTCAGTATTCTGTACTTGATGGTTACAGCATGAGGCGCCATGAAACGTTGAGTATCAAGACGGTAAGTGCTCTAATAGTTGGTGATTTAGCATCCATGCACATCGGCATCTGTTTGTGATAAAGCACAGCGTAAGGTGAAGACTGAAGCGTCACATACCACTTCCTTAGTCCCTATGGAAGAGCAGCACCAACCAATATGCAATAAATTTATTCAGTAAGAGTCTGCTAGGCACCAGCCAATAATGCAATAAATTTATTCAGGGAGAGTCTGC